GGCTGCAAGTGCAGCAGGCCAAGTGCAGGTGCAAGAGCTTACGGCATCCACTGATGCCATTGACAGATTACTACAGCAGCTGCGACACAGCGTCGCCGAGCCAGACGCAGAGCTGACTGGTCAAGTTGAGGCAGGGGGTGGGCTTGCACCAGGGTTCCGGCATCTGTGCCAGCTTCCTCTACGGATGGCTGATGGTACAGCATGGGTGTCCGGTTAGGCGTTCAGTGGGTTAAGTGGGTTGTTCACGACTCTCTGTTTGACTGGCCGTCCTTTGTCCAGCCTTGATTTTGCAAATTCGCTGGACCTTCCAGTGATATCTCGGGGCCCAATAAGCAGGGGTTCTTGCTTTCATCACCGAAATCTGCGGCGCCAGTAATCAGCCACCTGTGATGAGGCCGTGAAGAAGCAGATGGATAAGTTGCTGCTGGAGATGGAGGCCAACAAGCTGAAAGACGTCAACAGTAGCGTTCAGATGCAAGAGCTAGCAGCAACGGTCGACGGCATCCGAGAGTCTGTAAAGCAGCTGCGATCTGTTGTGGGGCTCCACGGTGGAGAGCTCCCGGAAACAAGTGGTCCTGGAGTTCAGGTTGATAGCGCGCCTCTGCCGACCTCTCCTTGCCGAAACCTTTCCGCTGCTCTGCACGAGATTTCCGCCCGTGTGGATCACGTGGAGAGTGCAGCGTTGGCCCGGCAAGATCGACTGGAGCAGCTGACAGGCGGGGCAGGGCCAAATTTGCAGTCACCGTCAACTTTGAAGATGCTCGGTAAGTTGAGGCCTGCAGTGGAATATCTGCGTTGTAAGATGTGAGCTTCAACCTTCGAGTCAGGTGACATGGCGAGCATTGCAGCAGAGGTGCAGCAGCTGGAAGCAATTACCGGCAAGCCTGGAAGCTCCGGCTACAAGTCTGATTATCATGAGGCATCTGCGCAGCCTCTGACGACTGCTGTTGCAGATGTCGTGTCGCGTGTAGCTCAAGTTGAGCACGAGACTTCAACGAGGCGCACGCGAATGCAAGAAATCTACAGCTGTGTTCAAGAGCTTCAAGCTCAAATCGAGAAGCTCGAAGCTAATATCATGTCTCCTGCTTGTTTCGGAAGCTTTTGATGTTTTCTGATGTAAGCGCACGAAGCGTAAGCGAAGAGCGTCTCTAAAGGGTGATTGTTCAACTCAGGCAGCCCGCGTGGAGACCGCAAACATCTTTTTCTGAGATGGACTCTCTGCAGCTTTCGCCGTCCGTGGCACCTACAGTTGCTGCAGACACCGTGCATGACTTGCAGACGCAACTGGCTTGGCCTGGCCTGTGTTTTCTTTCCTGTTTGAGTTGAATCAGGCGTTGGGTGTGTTGGGTCTGCAGCCGGCATAAGGCAAGTCGGCGAACTTGAAGTCGCGAGCTCTTTCCGGCATCAGAGCATCTGAACTGAACTGTGCGCAGGTAGAACCAAGTTCGGCAAACGCAGCGGTCAGCTTGTAGGTGTGTGCGTCCGTGTTTCTCGAAGTCCAAGGAGTCCATGACCTTACTTCTGCCGTGGATGAGCTGCGCACACAGCTGCAGGAGGCACTCAAGAGCTTGCAACACAACACGCTTGACTCGTATCGTCAAACATCGGGAATCACGACCGTCTTCAAAGCTTCTACAAAAATCATCGAAAGCCGCACCAGGATCCACGCCGTGCTTCTGAGTTCTGAAATCATTGCTGCTTCGCAGGTTCTTGACAGAACAGGGCAACGAAAAGTTTGAAATAGCCCGATGGAGAAGAGATGAAGAAACTGTTCGCACAGCTTCGCATTTCGGAATCGTTCTGGAGCCCGGCACAAATCACTCGCATTCCTCGCTTTCATGCAGGCAAAGAGAAACAAGGTAGACTAGGTGTTCGTTAGACCTTCTGGGCAGTTCGCAGAGGTGATGATAAATGCCCAGAGAGCCTGCACCAGGTGTGCGAAAAGGCTTCGGCAGTGGAGCTCGAAGGACGGAAGCTGACCTCAGAAGTGGAGGACGTGAGACTCTGCGTGGCTGGGCATAGACTGCAAACAAGTTGGGTGTTGCGGCCAGAAAATGCCAATGGAACCAAGGTGGACAGACTGGAGCGTCAAAGACAGCAGGCCGCAAGCGGGCAGAGCGTCGAGGCTGGACCACTGGTGTTGGATGCTGCTGCCAAGTCCTGGATGGATCGTCAGGCGCCTGTGCAAGACTTGCGAGCATCTGTTGTTTTGGGACTGTTCATCAATGTATATCACAGTACAATATAAGCTAATCTCATGATCTCGAGAACACCATCAATACCCGAGGTCGCCCACGTTCTAGACAGAGCTGCGGATAATTTCGTCTCTCTGCTGGAGCACCCGGGCATGCAAAAGCCACGAATTAGCGGCATAACTTGGAGTGTCCGTGTCCGGGTTTCGCCTGGCTCTGAAACTCCATGCGTAGAAACAGGGGTACGTTGATGGCTCATGGCCGCTTTGGTAGGCTGCTGCGAATTACGAGTTAAGGACGACGAACCGCCGCCTGGATGCTGCGATCACCAAGCAAGAGAGCGTAAACGAGGATTGTTGGGCAAAGCGTTGAGTTACGACGGACTTGGGAAAGCTGGGAAGCTCGAAAGCCGGAGAACAGGAGCTGCAGCACAGCACGTCGAAAGGCTGGACCTGAAGTCTCCTCGTGGGAACCGGTGTCGCACCGCAACGGTTGAGCAAGGTCCAGCAAATGACGATGTGGTGCAGCTTCTCCACAGCCTGAGGTGCACGCATTGCAGAGCCTTTACACAGTAACCCTTACGGTGCTCTTGCAGGCAAGAGCATCGCCTTGAAGCAGCTGCGCTCTGGGACGGCCAGGGCCCCGGTTAAACTGCAGCCCTGTGGAGTGGAGGCTTCCGTAGAGTTAGGGTTACCGGGTCCAACCCGAGGCTTGGCAGACCTTGCAGACCACCTCGGCGCAGATGCCGGACGCTTCATGCAGGCAGGGTCACACGTCGGCTTGTGGAGTTGTCAGAGGCGGGGACGGTGACATCGCCCCAGCTGCGAGCAGGATGCCGAATTGACAACAAGATAATAGCATGAGTGACCTCGAGCCCACCGGTTTCATTCGAATCCCAAAGGCCCGATGATTGCATTTTTGCGGGATGTAAGCGCACGTGTGCCACCTGCCACCCGCCCGCCCACCCACGCACGCACGACACAGGCTTCAGAGGGTCTAGCCCACGAGACGCGACACGACAGAAAACAAGAAAAAACTGAGCGATGCCAGGAGTTGTGCTCGGAAGCAAGTGTGCATGTGTGACAGAAAGAGAAAAAAGAGGGAGAGACAGAAGGACTACTCGCGTCCCAACCCTCCTAGCAAAGCAGAGAGAGAGAGAGAGAGAGAGAGAGAGGGAGAGAGAGAGGGAGCAATGGGGGTCTCCCCCTGCACCACAGCCCTGGCGAAAGAAAGAGAGGGAGCAATCCTCCGGCCCATAGCCCTGGCGAAAGAACACCACTATATGCCATGCGCTCTTTTTGTTAAGCGACTTTCGGTTCGAATAAGTTAGAGTGCATAGCAGACACACTTTGTCACCGTGCAGCGCACTCGTCAGTACGAAAGGAGGAAAACCTCCTACGAAGTATCGAACATGCTGGGATGTGTTGCTGGAGCTCTTTGTCTGGATTGCTTTCAGTGACCGATCATGTTTGCCACTTGTCGAGACCGATGCTTCCAGGCAACTCCCCACCCACAACCCTGTCGAAAGAAGGAGAGACCTCGAGAGAGAGGGTGAGAGCGCGTCCGTGCGCGTAATTCCCCAGTGAGCGAATCTGCGCGCAGCGGCGGCGAACGGCTAACCCCTCTGGCTGTGCGAAGAAGCGCGTCTCTGCGATCATGAGGCTGACGACCAACTGCCCAAGAAGGGTGTTGTGCCAGACCTGGTAGCAAACAGCGAGGACGCTGAAGTTAGTTGTGTTCCTCAGTGTCTCCAGTGCAGCGTCTCCAAAGACCAAAGCTTCGTCTGTGCCCCAGCAAGGATGCGGCTGCAGATGTGGGCCGCACTGCCCACGATCCTGGATCGCCCGTACCCTCATCGGCCAGGGCTCCGCAGCAGGCGAACGGAAGAGGGCGGAGTTCTGCGGAGTGAGCAAGCATCCGACCAGGCTGCGTTCGAGGACGAGTTGGACAGCGCTGCGACGACTCTCGGTTGCGTCTCGAGTCTCTCCGAGCCTTTTCCGTCGATCTGATCAGTGGCGTGCCCAGGCTCAGCCCAGCCAGTCCCCGCAAATGACCATGGCCATCCATGAACTCCTCTTTGTTGGGTCGTTTAAAGCAGTCCTGGAGACTTGCTGTGATGGCGCACCGCACCGGAGTCAGCCCGCGTTGAAAGAGACGGTGGAGCCTGCCCATGGAAGCCACACGATGTGCACATGCTGAATGCACGGAAGATGCAACTCCCATGCCAAAGCTGCATGGGCGTGTTGCTTGCCGCACAAAGGCTGCGGACAGTTGCGCTCACAACTCTGAGCCATGTGACGAAATCGAAGGGGCATCGGTTAACGCATCTCTCTGATCGTACGAGCATTGCCAAGTCTGGCTCCTGATTACACCACTTTTTCGCACTTCAGCCTGGCTCTAGGGAAAACCCAATACCAAGAGTCGACATCCATACTGCTTCGGCAGCTCGTGCCATCTTTTCTGCTGGTGCATGCTAGTGCTTTGGATCTTTTTGGCTTGGCTGCGTGCAAACGGACAGGATTCAGGATGCACTGAGCCCGAACCGGCACCGTCGTCGCTCCAGCTCCTTCAGCAGAACTTGCGGCTGGGACGAGGCTCGGTGAACAGCATCCTCGCTGACTCCCAGTCTCCGACGTCTCTGGCTAATCTCAAGAAGCTCTTAGATGGGTGCTCTGGATGGGATTGCTTGAAACAGTATGTGGATCGGCCAGATGCAGCTTATAGCTGGCGGGACAGCCACATGAGGCTGCAAGGCTCTGTGGGCGGTGTGGAATGGACTGCGGCACTCCTGCAGATGACCAGCCAGACATGGCTGCCAGATTTAGTATCACCAAGCTCCTGGAATCATTCATTAGTCGTCATCTCGCCCAAGAATGTCTCGCAGACTGGCTGGTGTTTTCTCTATGTCGCCATGGGTTTCTACGGCTCTTCCGGCGTGGACAAGGCTGTTGAAGCCTCAAATCCCGATGTCCAAGCTGCTGCGAAGATTGCCGTGTCGGTGGGGATCCCTGCTGCCGTGCTGTTTAACGTGCCAGCAGAGCTATTGACCTTTAAGACTTCTGCATCTCAAGGCCCTTTAGTAGAGGACCGGCCTTCGATTCTTGTAAAGCACAGACAAAAATGTACTGTTGCAGTCCGATCCCGAACAGCTCGAAATGTGACAGAGGACGGGACGCTTTCCCATTCTTGGGCACTCTTTGGCCGTCAGCCCTTCGGACTTGGAGCCTGGCGCCCAGATCCTCGGCTGCTGCTGGAGCTGCCCATGACGAAGGCCAGTGTGGGCGCATGTGGCCGCCAGTCTCCGAGATATTGCTTCCTGAAGGCTGTCGTGAGGGCGATGGACGCAATAGGCGCCTACTATGATCCCCCTTGGAATGTTTGTTCTGAGCTGCGTAGTGCCCTCCAGGTGACTTCGCAGATTCTGGAGCTGTTGCTGGCATCTCCGGCAAGCTGAAGTTTGTGGTGATGGGAACCAGCGCCTTAGATGTGCCAGATCGACTTCGATGTTGATGGTTTTAGCAGAACACTGTCTGCACCACCGTCGGATCCAACCCGCTAAGGCAAACGAGGGCACCTGTGCTGGCATGCCGCGTCTGTGGATGCCCGTGATACTTGGCTCATCCCTTTCGTGCTTGTGCCGTTCTTGTCCAACCTCTGTGCATAGCACACTAGGCAAGGGGGCACAAAAAACACGACACTGACGTCTCGCGCCAGCTGCTGAGGTCGAAGCTATTGTCCCGATCGCAAAGGCGTTGAACATGCAAGGGTTTCTCAACCTCTCGCAGAGAGAATTGGGTGGACTGCCCCAAGCCGCCACAGACTATGCCCAAGCAGGAGTGTGCCTGGTCCTCTTCGGTATGTTGTCCATTGAACCTCTCCAAAGAAGTCTCTTCTTGCTTTAGGCCTGTTATCAAAATCCAGGTTGGAACACCTCGAGGACACTCCGCAGGGACGCTGGTTCATCAACATCACGGATGCCTTTGCTTACAGGGAGCGGTTTGCCGGGTTACCTAAGCTAGTAATAAACGCCGCGAATGACGAGTTCTTCGTCCCGGATCACACGCGGGTATGGTGGCCGGCACTGCCAGATCCGAAGTGGCCTCTTGGCATGAACCTGGAGACTTTGGCGCTGGCCCTTTGCTGTGATATTTTGGTGTCCAGGCACCTTATGATCCCGAACAGTGGGCACATTGGTGGCGGCCAGCAGGTCCGAAGCCTGGCAGAACCTATCTCCGCATTTCTCTCTGGCCTCGTGCACACCGAGGACGCAGGGTCTCAGGCCAAAATTCGTTCGGATGTATCATCGTCCCTAGGCACGTCAAGCGTCGTGATGCTTCAGGCGCAGGACGCTGCCGAACTCCCTCGTCTCTCCTGGAGCATTCAAAAGACGGGAGCTATCACGGCCAAGCTTGACAAAGCAAGCCCTTCACCATCGGAAGTTGTCTTTTGGCAGGCCACAACATGCGACTCGCAAAGGCGAGATTTCCGATTGCACAATGCGGACCGTGGCGAAACCTGCCGTAAATGTGGTTATCAAGGATTGTATGGCTGCGTGAACGAAGCTGTGACTTGGAACAGTTCCACGATGCAGGAGACAGAGCACCGCAGCTTTGTATGGGAAGCGAGCGTGTCCGCACCTGCCGATGGCCGCTGGACAGCCTTTTTCCTGACCTTCCATTGGCCGACTGGATTGAGGCTTTCGACAGAGGTGTCTGTTGTTCCTGTAACATTTCCCTTTCCAAACTGTCCGCAGAACTGTTCACACACAGTTTGATTGGCATGTCGCACAAAACAGCGTGATGACCCCAGGGCCGCGAGTTGAATCTGACAGGTGCATGATGTTAACGTTTGTCTAAGCAGGCCTGCATGTATGCTATCTGCAGCTATTTTGTCCCAAAAATGGCGACGATTAAGCACAGGCCTGTCAGCCCTCATGGGCTTCCGACAGAGCCTCACCAGCACGATGCTCCAGATCGATCTTTTGCTGATCAGCTCAGTGCCCGTCACGAAGGGAGGGGTTCCTTGGGAAATTGGCAGCCTCGTCAGCTCGAAGCCCACTCAAGAGATGCAGTATATAGCTGTAGAGCAGCTTCAATAGCCAATACTAGAAACTAGTAGCCGCTGCTTTGCATTTCTCTCCTTCTGGGCTTCTGGGCGTCAAGTGCAACATCTGAGTCCGACTTGGCAGCCGCCGATCGGCGACGCGTCCTCGCAGCTGCGACCGTGGTTGGCTTGGTTGATGAGCTGCTAGGCCGCCTAGGCCTTGTTTTACTAGCTGCTAGGCCGGCTAGCCTTTAGTTACTTTGGTAGCTCCTGTCTGATCCTTTGTGATGGAGCCAACACTGCTCCAGCCGATGTTGCGGCTGTAGCTGGCGAGTGTTGAGGTTCTTAAGGCTTGAGGGTGGAGGCGCAAGCTGATTCAAGGATCGACATCGGCCTGCTCGCCGCTTCCTTTATGCAGCCCCTGCCTCAGTTGGGTTGTCTGCGGCGCGACGCTCGGTTGTTCCTCACGGGCCGGCATGTTGCAACTGTTTCAGGGGCCACATATGATAACAGTGGCATGATAACAGTGGGGTGCACCATGAAGTAACTCGTGCTGGTACAGCTCAAGTCTTGGCTCAAATGTCATATGTCTGCAAGCCGGAACGAGAATGTCCCTCCCACCCACGTGGACTGCTGGTGGCTGGCCCCAACAGCACATGGCAACGTATGGAAGGCTCGGAGCGCCTGCAACACAAAGCATGATGGCCTCCAACCTGGCCCCTACGATGATCTTGGCTCAGTCTTCGCCAACCTCACAGGGTGAGCAGGACTCTTCGACGCAGGAGTCCGAGCCCTGTTTTGACGGGCTGTGCCTGAATGAAGCGCGGGAGAGTGAAGAAGCGACGGGAGAATATGTATA